GGGGAGAGATAGAAACATCGATAAGAGAGAACATTGATTGGCCGCCTCCTGCATGCCCCCTCCCCCCCCCCGGGATCAGGCCCACAACCTGGGCATGTGCCCTGACCAGGAATCGAACTGGTGACCTCTTGGTGCATGGGTTGATGCTCAACCACTAAACCACACTGACTGGGATTGGCTTAATACTTACACTTGGCCTTTCCATGTAGTTGCTTGGGGCTTTCTCACAGCATGGTGACTAGGTTCCAAGAGTGATTATCTCAAGAAATAGAATGTGGAAACTGCCAGTTTCCTTAAGGTTTGGGCTTGAAAACTGGCATAGTATCACATAACCATATTCTAGTAAGCAATCACAGGGCCCATATTCAAGGGGAGAGGACCTAGAACCCAACCTCTCAGAAAAGAGCGGTAAAGAATTTGGGGAGTAAGGTATAAACACAGATTCTAAGACTAGAACTCAATCCACTACAGTGAGCTGTCTGGCTGCATTCATTATCTCCATATTTATAGAGCTTCCAAGTATCTATTTTGATCTTATGAAGTACCCTCAGCTTGGTTGGTATTTAAACAACTCAGGAATCTTTCCTCTCCTGGATCCTTAGTGACTTCTATATTTTCACCTAAGTTTTCACACTCTGTTCCCAGATCCCATAGAAAAGGCTCCTTTCGCCTGGCTGTTGTGGCTCAGTGGTTGAGCACTGGTCCATGCACCAAGAGGTCGCTGGCTCGATTCCCAGTCAGGGCACATGCCCAGGTTGTGGGCCAAATCCCCAATAGGGGACATGCAGGAGGCGGCTTATCGATGTTCTCTCTCATCGATGTTTCTCTCTCTCCCCCTCTCCCACCCTCTCACTCTAAAATCAATAAAGAAAAAAAGAAAAGAAAAGAAAAGGCTCTTTTCCCTGAAGCTGTTTGACCTGAACCCAGGCTAAAGATCTCTGAATGTATCAGCTGCCCCCCAGGGTACTGGTAGGCTGCCTTTCCAAAAGGAGACTCCAAACCCAACTTTTAGTTTTATCTTGGAGGGAGAGTGAGGGAGAAGAAAGGGGAAGAAGGAAGAAATGGGTTTGGCTGTGTGACCTGATTACAGGAAGTCATGGTTCCTCTGCAGAGACCACAGGCTGGATTGGATTGGTCGTCTTCAGCCTGAAAGACCACAGTGAGAACTTGAAATTAAAGCAGATGCCCAGGACAGGGAAGAACTGGAAATCATATATAAATGGAGAGACTAAAGGGTTCTTTAAACCATAGAAGAAAATAGTCAAAGTAGAAAGTGACAACAGTGTCTTCATATATTTGATTGTCAGAGGAAAAGAGAAAGCAGAGTGGCTGTGCTGCTCCAAAAACCAGAAAAAGAACAAACAAGTCAGAGTTTCACAGAGGCCAGTTTCCAAAGATCATTTCATGGCAGTTTAGGTAAGAGATGACCGCGGCAATGAGAGAAGAGACAGATCAGAGAGATATTTTGGAGAATGATTTGACAGGACTTGGTGAAAACTAGCTGGGGAAGGAAAAAATGAAGGAGAACAATTTTAGGGTTGGACATTTAGAATAACTTCTAAGTTACCTCCTATCTCTCAAATATTGAGATTCTATAAAACTTCAAATTGTTACAGGTATTTTTGGAATGAGGGCATAAAACTGCCCCTGGAAAGTATATGGCATCCTCAGTATAGGTGAAACAGGAAGGTCCACCCTCCAGGATAATCAGGATATTACCTTTCCTCTTCAGCCTAAATTGCTCTCACTAGATAAACTACTCAAAGGCAGCCAATCTCTCCCAAACTTCTCTGCTCTACCCAATCTCTCAGTTACTAAGCAACAGATCCTTGAGAGCCAGTATACTAAGCACCTGGGCTGTGTGTAGTGCCGCACCTGCAAACTGGGCCATGGGGCTGGGCAGGGCCATTTAAGACACCAGAAAAGACCTGACCCCCATCGGTTTAACAATCTCAAGCCACACCTAGGAACCAGTTGATTCAAACATGTTTATTGAGCTAACCATTAGGGCACAAAAGAGGCTGGTAAATATGTTCCAAAAATACAGGAAAACTGTTATACTCTCTCCATTCAACATATGGAGGCAGTGCCCCTTTGAATACTGAGGTGAAGCCCCCACCCCTCCAAACACAGCAGGAAACAGGCACACTGCTGAAACACAGAGGAACAGAGCCATGGTGCATTCAGAAGGACGGGGCATAAGGTTCCTCTATGCCAACATCATCAGAGAAAGGTTAGCTTAGAAAGGCAAAGCCCACCTCTTCGTCCCCTCAGAGACCAGGGGTGGGGGCTAGAAGTAATGGTTCCTTTTACTTCCTTTTCCTGTTTGCCTTTTCCAAATGGTCATATTGTTGTGGTGGCAGGAGAAGATGGAGAGGGGAGCAGAATCATGTCAGAAGTCCTGTAATGAGAAAGATGAAAGGCAAACACAGAGACATAACCATAGACCACAGGACAAAGAGATGACTGCAAGGTCCTAGAGATGACAACATCCCTCCTGCCCTCCTGTTAGGGCTACTCCTAAAGCTCTGGACACAGCTGAGAGGGCAGGCCATGAGCTGTGGCCTTTCTTTGCACTTACTTGACAAATACACTAGTTACCTGCCAGCATCTCCCAAGGACACACAACTCCTCTTACCCCACCTTCTACAGTCTGTTTTGAGGCCGCTCACCTCAGTGTTCAGCTCTGTAGAATCTAAGAGGTCCAGCCCAGGCTCACTGGGGAAAGAGTGCTAGAGAGAATGGGGTCAAACGTCAGAAAGGTCCTTCCCTACTCCCATCACACTGCAAACAATCACAAAATTCCCTTTCCAATAACAAGTGTAAGGGCTGCAGTAGGTCCCTGAAGCAGTCAGGGCAGAAAGATTAGCAAAAGGAGGATGGGCAGGAGGTTCACGCCTAGAGTTCCCAAAGTCATCAGAAAAGTGCCTCCTCTTCTGACCTGCAGACTGAGTCTCTTAAATTTATTCGTTTTGGAACCTGAGAATGGGGTTTTTCCTGAGGGGACTTTAGGGAAGGCTACAGAATTCTAATAGAGGCCTTGCCCTCTAGTCTCTGGTTTGAAGATGTCACTGTCTGGTTTTTTTCTTCTGAGCATCCCTGCTTTATTCCATCCTTTCTCCCTCCTCAAAGAACAGAGAAGGGAGCAGAATAATAGCAGTGGACACATAACCCTTTCCAGTTTATAATACTTTTTGTATTTTTTCATTTTTGTATTTTGTGTAAAAGCTCCATTTTAAAGATGAGGTTTAGAGGGGTTAAAAAGCTAACTTGATAAAGTGGTGAAACCATGCTTTTCCTACTAGACTGGCAGCATTTCCTCCAGGGGAAGCAGTCCGGCTGGGGTAGGAAAGGGAGTGAGTGGAGGAACAGGGACTGGAGTAGCCCTGTAAGGAGACAGGAGGGAAGGCAGGGTGCCCATGTGCTTGTGTGTGCGTGTACATTATAAAGAGACTTACCAAATGGGCTGCAAGGTTGGGCTAGATAATGGTCTATCTCTAGCTCTAGAATTCCTTTTAATTTTTGGACTCAGAGGCAGAATGCTTATTTGGAGGTTGAGAGGGGGAATGCTATTCCAGTCCTTTTTGGTATTTTAAAAGGTCTTTTCCCTATTTCTTGGGGTGGGGGAGTCCTAGAAAAGTGCAAAGCAACTTACAAACCTCCCTCCTTTACTCTGTGATTCTTTCAAAAAGTCCTAAGTAATGTTCAGGGACAAAGGCATCATAAGGATTGAAAGAGCAGAATCACTCTAGTCTCTCTCATATTTGACTATAGTTCTAGAGAGAAGGGAATGCTGGGTCCACTCACCTTGTCTGGATCTTGCCATTCTCCACCTGACTCATTCTGAACTTCTAACTCTTCTATGTCTTCATCCTCTTCCATAAGGCTGAGTCTGAGGGCAGTGGCAAAGAGTAGAAGTTTCCAAACTGCTCTTTAAAGACCTGTGAGAGTTTCTCAGGGGCACCCCAGGAGAGGAGGGGTGAGCAGTAAGTGAGCAAGGCTCTAGTTCCCACTCCTGCTTTAATCAGCAGCCCTACTCTCATCAGTTTTACATACTAGAGTTCCACATTATATTGGAAGGAAGTGTTCGGTAGTTAAAACAATCCCAAATAGCATCAGCATAGCAGCACGGGACAAGGGGAGAATCCCTTCACCGTGAGTCACACATCTGAAGTGAAGATAGAAGATGATGAGAAAAGCTCACCGGGTCAGCCGGTTACCCAGACCAGGACCTGAAGGGTTGAATGAAGTGTGGAAACGCTGTGGACTCAAGAACCTTGACCTCTGGGTGCCTAAAAGGAGTTGGCTGTTGAGAATGATGCAGGATCAGTGACAGTAAATAAAAGTAAAGGGTAAAAAGAGGAGTTAAAGTGGCCAGCATTAAAGAGGATAAAAGCTCAGAGTATAGGAAAAAAGAGAAAATGTACAGCTGAAAAAACAGAAAAGGACTGGATAAGGACCCAAGAATAAGAGAATGCTGCAGGAGAGAACAACTATAACAGCAAGATAGAGATGGTAAGACACCAAACTGGGAAATCAGACACCCAGATTCTCCCCCTTAGCCCTCACCCTTGGGTAAACTCTGATTCCGAGCCACCTTCTTCCTCCATCTCTTCCAACCCCTCCAGAGGCTGCCTACACTTTACAGCTGTGGAGGTGAGGGTGGGTGTGGGTGGGATGCTGTTCAGCTGTAGGCTTTCCTCCTGGGATGAAGAGATGTCCTCTTTGTGCCGTCTGGAAGAGCCTGCAAAGAAGCGGATGCAGTACTGTAGACCAGGTGCTGCCTTTAATGTTTTTACTTTTTCAAGACCAGCCCAGGAGTTGGTTAGAAAAAGTTAAGAAGAGAATGGAAAACTTATATGTCCTCATTATGTTATGACTATAAGATGAGCATAGCCCTATGTACTTATGTATAGCCTTATGTACTAAAAGAATAAGGCTTATAGAAGTAAATCTAGCTCTCTCCATCTCCAGCCACTGCAGCAAGAGAAGCTGCCCCCATGTCAGCCCATCTGCAATGTATGGTCATATGGAACTGCTCCAGCTTTCTGATAAAGAGGAATAAGCAGACCTTCAGCACCAAACCCAATAATCTGAAGGTTTGTAATGCTTTCAGCTACAACGAGCTAATTCACCGCAATACAGTGGGTATGTGTGGTGGCTGTCATGAAGCAAAGATCTGCCAGCAAAAGCTGGCCACCTCCTACATGCAAACCACTATCAACAAGAACACCCAGGCCACACTGAGCAGCAACTAGCACATAATATAGAAGAACAAGTACTGCCTGGATCTGCGCATGGCCACCATCTGCAAGGCCAGCACCACCCTGCACAGCCAGAAGCCCATGATGGTGCAGAGGAAGCAGATCTGCCTCATCAAGAGCTCCTGAGCACCCCTCCCACACACACAAATCAATGAAGGTATCAGCCAACTTTTTTTAAAAAAAAAGAAAAAGAAAGAGAAGGTATATCTAGGACTTGTCCAAAAAAAATTTACTACACAGATTATAAAATGAAGAGAGATATATTTTTTCACATTTACACAGTAACATCTGAATATGAATGTGAGAGAGGGTTGGACTCCTAAGATTGAGAGATCTCAGTTAATCAATGAAGACATCTGAAGTCCTATTTTTTTTATCCTCGCCCGAGGATATTTTTCCATTTTTTGTTCAGATAGAGCAGGAGGGAGAGAGAGGAAGAGAGAGAGAGAGAGAGAAACATTGACATGAAGGGACCATCGAGTGGCTGCCACCCGCACGACCAACCAGGGCCGGGGACAAACTGCAACCGAAGTACGTGCCCTTATCGGGAACCAAATCCGGGTCTCTCTGTACCGCAGGCCGACGCTCCAACCGCTGAGCCAAACCGGCCAGGGCCTGAAGTCCTATTCATTCAAGATTTCTGTGGTGAGAAAAAGCTTAAAATGGCAATTGAGTGTTGGGACCTGAAGCAAGGATAGCAGTATGAAGAGTAGGGAGAAACATAAAAATGGAATGCTGGATTTTCAAAAAGCGAGAAAAAAAATGAGATAATTGCAATGTTAGCATAGTGCTGACATGAAGGGTAAGTGAAAAACCTAGTTAAGAATCTCTCTCCTACAGAAGGTAGAGGAGGAAAAAGAATCCAAAATGTCTCAAAAGACCCAGGTAATACTATTTAAAAATACAAATCAAACTCACAGTAATATTTGTCAACTGTAAATACTGACACCCCATTACCTTCCCTCCCTACAGTCATGCTTGCACAAAGAAACCAATAATCTGGAAAGTGAGCTGCTACTGGTTTAAGTAAAGGACTACAGACAATAGGAAAGAGCCATATCCATGAGCTTGTAATCCTGGAGAGGAAAACTTGGGACCCAAGATGGGTCCTCCTCATTTCCCTAGCCTATTAATGGTGTAATGCTCAAGAGCTCAGTCCCCTGGCTTCTCCTCTGCTCCACCTTCACTGGTTTCCTTAGCCATTCAGGTTTATACCTTCAAATATCAACTTTCAAATCTGTTTTTGCCTTTCCCCTGATTCCTATCCCCAGCTGTCTGTCCACCTGTAATAACATGGCTAATACCAAAACCCTGACCTCACTCATGGCCTTCCCCTTCTCAGTTGCTATCAATGCCATCCTTCCAATTGTTAGGCCAAAATTCTTGGGAGTCTCAACTCCTCTGTCTTACATCACACATCCAGTTTTGTCAGGAAGTCCTATTAGTGATACCTTGGAAATATATCCAGAATCTGACCACTTCTGACCACCTCTGCCCCTTCCCCCTCAGTCTATTCTGTTTCTTCTCTCTTCTGGACTCCTACGACAGCTTCCTCACTGGCTCCTTTGCTTCTACCCGTGCCCCTCTAGTCAATTCTCAAAACAGCAGCCAAAAGGATGCTTTTAAAGTTTAAAGCAGATCATGTCACTCCCCTGCTCAAATTCCTACAATGTTTTCTCATTTCACTCCAAGTAAAGTCCAGTCTTGACTCAGCCTCATATGTTCTGGGCTCCTACAACGTCTTTGTTCTCATATGCTACATACTCTCCATTCAGCTATACTGGTCTTCTCTGCTGTTCCTTGAACATGCCAGATACATCCTCTATCATGGCCTTTGGACTGGCTGCCCCTCTGATATACTATTGTGATATACACCAGGCACCCTTCCTCATTTCCTTTAGCTTTTTGCCCACCCTTCACACTCTCTGCAAGGCTTTCCCCAATCACTCTTTACAAGACCACAATCCTCATCTCATTAATATTTCCTCATCCTCTTTCCTGCTTTTTTGCCATAGCACATACCGCTACCAGACACTCTAAAGAAGGAAATATGTCTTTTTTTGTTCACTGCTATCTTCCCAGCACATGGTGCTCAATAAATATCAGTGGAATCAACAATTAAACCAATCTTTTTAGTATCATCCTACCTTTACAAACCTTCTGTTTTAGGCAAAAATATCAAAATATCCATGTGCTTTGCCTAAAGCATACCTTTCTATGTTTCACTTATGCTATTCTGTTAGCCCATGATACTCATTCTTCCTTTGTTCAGCTTATATAAATCTTACCCATTTTTCAAGCTCCAGATTAAATTCCATATTCTTGGTAAAGCCTTCAGAGATCAATTAAACTTAAAGTGATAACTTTCTTCCCTGAATTTTTTAGCATTTATCTATCAATTCTCAAATGCTTAGGAAATTATCATTTACTGGTGACTGCTCATAAATTAGATTTTCTATAAATGTATTTTCTCCTTTCTTATTAGATGGTAAACTCAAGTTCTCCAAAACATCTAACACAGAATCTTGCACATAACAGGTCCTTAACAAATATTTATTAGCTAATTGATTGAAGCAAAGTTCCCTGTGGTATAAGGGACAATTTTAGGTGCTATATAGAAGACATTAAAAAGAAGTCACACCTCTATCTCGCAGCATATGCAAAAACTAACTCAAAATAGATAACAGACCTAAATTTAAGAGCTATAACTAAAAACCTCTTAGAAGAAAACAAGTATAAATCTTTGTGACCTTCGATTAGGCAAAGGTTTCTTAAGATATGACACAAAAAGCATAAACAACAAAAGAAAAACTAGATAAGTTAGATTTCATCAAAATTAATGACTTTCATGTTTCAAAGGAAACCATAAAGTAAGTAAAAAGACAACCCACAGAATGGGAGAAAATTTAGGATATCATATTTGATAAGGGACTTGTATCTAAAATATATAAAGATCTCATGCAACTCAACAATAAAAGGACAAATCAAAAAATATATTTGGGCTTCCGGTCAAAATGGAGGAGTAGGTAAATGTGGTATTGAGTCCTCCCACAACCACATCAAAATTACAACTGAACTGCAGAACACTATCATTCAAAACCACCTGAAATCAAGCTGAATGGAAGTCCTACAACTACAAAATTAACGAAGAAGCCACATCGAGATTAGTAGGAGGGGCAGAGGTGGGACTGGCCAGACCCACACACCCAGTGTGGTGGATAAAAATCAGAACAGACACCTCAGCTGGGAAGGTCCTCCCTGAGGCGTGAGGGGTCCCCATCCAGACCAGGCAACCAGTTCTGGGTTCCAATGACAGGAAGAGAAGTCTCCATCACTTCTGGCCATAAAACCAGCAGAAACTCAGGCCGAGGGAGGCTGAGGCTGCTGAAGCCCCAGGCAGCTCCTCTTAAAGGGCCCTGACATGGACTTCCTTGGACTCACACCCTCCAGGCTCCAGCGCAGAGGGCAGGCAGCTCACAAGGCACCAGAGAAATATGGGGAAAAACTGAGTTGTTTGGCGTTGAGGCGAGGGCTGGTGAGGCAGCTTTCTCCTGGACAGACGTGCTATCAGAGGCCTTTGTTCCTATGGTGAGCCCTTCCCCCATGAAGCTGGCAGAAGGCAGCCACATTTGGGACTCCAGCAACCTGGCTCACACTATTTGCCCTGCCCTGGTGATTCCCTGAGGCCCTGCCCCTCCCAACTTTCAGGCCCAACCAAGCTGTTACCAGTTGCTTTACCACAGGAATGGCCTGTCTTGGATCCTGCTTCAGATTTTCCTAAATTCTCTCAAACAAGCAGCATCTAGTCTCACTGAGCACCATACCTCTCGTTAAGTGGCCCCAGCCCTGGCACTAGAAGCAGCCATCTGGAGACTGATTTGTAGCCTATGCCTGGTGGCCCTGGGTAGAACATAGGCAGTGGCTGACCTGGCCCCAGAGCCAGCACACCCAGTGGCCAGCTTCAGAACACTGTGAAGCACCACCACCCAACCACCTCCACAAGTGATACACTCAAGGAATGGACTCAGTGGGTACCAGAACCCTGATGAAGTAAGTCTTGCTCTGTGTGGTGGGCCCCTGCACAGCTGATCATCCAAGGTAGTCAGAGGTTGGTAGATAGTGGACATAGCCAGTCCTTGCAGCTGATTAGCCTGAGTAAAACCCTCTCATCGATGTGCCAACAGCAATCAAGACTCAATTATAACAGAAGGGTGTAAAGTCCACGCAAGGTGTGCACCTCGAGGGCCCAGCTGGGAGACCAGGGAGGCTGTGCCACTGGACCCTACAGGGCACCTACTACAATAGGCCACCCTAGGAAGCCCAGGAGACATAGCAACTCTACGTAATACATAGAAACAAACACAGAAAGGCAGCCAAAATGAAGAGACAAAAAAACAGGTCCCAAATGAAAGAACAGAACAAAACTCCAGGACAAGAACTAAACAAAATAGAGATAAGCAATCTAACAGATGCAGAGTTCAAAACACTTCTTATAAGGTTTCTCAATTAACTTAGTGAAAACTTCAATGAACTTAGGACTAGTCAGAAATGAAGGAGGCACTAACTGAAATAAAGAATGATTTACAGAGATTCCATAGTAGAGCAGGTAAAGCCAAGAAGCAAACCATCAATTTGGAATACAAGGAAGCACAAAACACCCAATCAGAGCAGCAAAAAGAAAAAAGAATCCAAAAAATTAGAATAGTGTAAGGAGTCTCTGGGACAACTTCAAGCACACCAACATTTGCATCATGGGGATGCCAGACGGAGAAGAGAGAGAACAAGAAATTGAAAACCTATTTGAAACAATAATGACAGAAAACTTCCCTAACTTGGTGAAGGAAACAGATATACAAGGCTAGTAAACACAGAGAGTCCCAAACAAAATGAACCCCAAGAGGCCCACACCAAGACACACCGTAATCAAAATGCAAAAGGTTCAAGACAAAGAGAGAATCTTTTTTTTTTTTATCCTCACCCAAGAACATTTTTCCATTTTTTGTTCAGATAGAGTGGGAGGGAGAGAGGGAGAGAGAAACATTGACGTGAAAGGGACACATTGAGTGGCTGCCACACGCATGACCAACCAGGGCCGGGGACAAACTGCAACCGAGGTATGAGCCCCT